TCTAGTCATCACCTTAGAGGTACGCATATAGATATTGAGAAGCTAGAGGTGCGCATATAGAAAGATTGTCTACTATTTTTGTCTCTGAAGGTCATTTAGGTATCTGCGTGTGCACAGCATAATTCTTGAGATAGTTGCATCTTTTTTGTTGGGGTTTTACAGATTGTTCATATGGTTTGTCTGTTAGGCCAGACCAGGTTTTTCTTGCTGGATAGGCAGGGGTAAAGGGCTCTGCACAAGTTAACGTTAGGGCTGGGACTCACAGGCTGACGTCATAAACAGCCGCCAAGCTCTCTCCCTCTGTGCCGTGGGAAAACTGTGGGGTCAGCGCTGGACATTTTTTTGGGGGGGTGTGTCTGTAGGCGTCTGGGCTTGGCAAAGAAGGTGCGGCAGGGAAGAGGAGGAAAACGTGTAGAATGCCCCACACCTCCTTTTGCAAATGTCACTGCACCGCTTTTAGGGCCAGTTCCATGTGCAGGTCTGGCTGTAGCCCCACCCTTTGAACTCCACCTGGGTGGCGTGGCCACAGAGGAAATTCCATCTGGAGCGATTTCTCACTTGCAGTATTTTCCTTTATATCAAGATTTTTCCATTTGCGCATGCAGGAAACTGATGCCCTGGACCTTATACTGGATCCAGAGCTCTGGTGGTGTTCCATGAGTACAGCTTCTCTAGATTTTCAATCCCTTCCCGACGGAGCCTTTCCTACCTGGCTGTCTCTGCCACTGTCCAAACTGGAAGCGCCAAAGCACAGAATTTTAAATAAAAAATCTGAAAAATCTCTTAGTTTCCTAATTGTTATTTGTTATTTTATACCAATTTCTTCCTAAGAAAGTTAAGCTATAAGTGGAAGAATAACTGGGGAATAATTTTTAGTTTATACACATCTCATCTATCCATTTGTAAACTAGTATGCCCAAATTTAGCCACAATCTGTCAAACTACATACATCTGTAAAAGTTATTCGTATTTACACATGAGTGTCCCTGTTTCCCTGTCTCTAGGACATTTACATTCACGCAGGAGCAAACAGTACATTTGCTACACAGCACATGACTTTTGGGGAGCACTGTGACTCCATACAATACACAGTGAGTTGAGAACCATGAATTTGGCAGTGGAGCCCACCACTACTCTGTGGGAGACAGATGAGTGTTTTCACTTTTGCAAAGTTACACAGCCTTAGAAACACAAGAAAAACAACGTCACTATGAGTTGGAACTGACTGGATGGCATTTAACAACAACAATAAAGATGATATTTTGTACAGTTATCAATTTATTACACTAAATTAATCTTACCTGTAGTTTCCTAGCACTTTGTTGTTGACACTTGTCTTTCTCAACAATCTGCTGGTACAGTTTAGCTCTCAACACACGCATGGCTATTTCTTTGTTTTTTATCTGGGATCGTTCTTGTTGGCATTCTACTACTAGGCCTGAAAAATGACAGGATCAGAAGTAAACCAAAGCTTCCACAGGCCAAATAAATATAGAACTGAGGAACATATTAAAGGGGAAAGGTTAATCAGGCAAACATTAAATATAAAAGCAATGGACCAGGCTTTACCTGTGGGGATATGGACAAGTCTGACAGCACTGTCGGTCGTGTTGACGTGCTGTCCTCCTGCTCCTTTGGCTCGAAATGTATCTACTCGCAAATCCTTAGGGTCCACTTTCACATCTACCTAGAGCAAAAGTCAGTGTAAGAAATTCTACACTTAGTGAACACTTTAAAGCTAAATTTATCCCAAGATTTTTCAAATAGAAGGTACTATTTTGTGTTAAAATTAAGTCATAGCCATTAGACTAAGAGGAGAAATAATATATACCAAAGACTCATTAATCCCTACTCCAATGGCATGCTATTTCTTAACAATGACTTAAAATGCTATGAGATACTGAGAGTGCAGCGTCCAGCTGATATGCAGTGAGGGGAGATGCACAAGAATGCCCAAACTTGCAGATAGTACCCATTTGACCTAACTTTGATGGCTTGATGATCATAGCTCCACTAAAAGAAGATAAAAAATTTTGATAAAGGAAACAAGTGTATATTATTACAATTTGATGAACTTGACCTATACTAATGGATGTAGTAACTCAAAATACCAAATGAGAGCAAAGTTGTCTTCATCTTTCCCCCTCTTTATGAGGGGTGATATGAATGGGCAACTTAGACAGTGGCTACCTAAAATGGGGGGTGGGGTGGGGTGGTGCTATAAAGACACGAAATGAGTGCCTTACAAGTTTTCAAGAGGGAGTTTAGTTTCAGAGTGTGCAGGGGAAGGTAGAATCCCTACTCAATGGTTTTCATCTTGTCTAGACAGGTCTGGTGAAAGGAGAGGGGATAAGGCTCTTACGATTCAATAGTGAATAGCTGGTATCATACCTAATTGCAATTGTCACAACTATAAAGGTAGAAGTTTTGCTAACATAAAGGTGGGTAAAATGCTATGAGATCCCTGAGTTACGAAATTTTCCAAAAGTTTATCACTAATCATCATTCTCAGACAACCCAAACCAAACCTACTGCCATCAAGTTAGCAGGTATGTGGATACGAAATACCATGTTCTATCCAATTCAAAGAACATGACTGTGTTCTCTTAGATAAATGAAGCTCCCATTAAATAAGTTTAATTTTCAAATATATGAAGGACATAAAAGGAGTGAAAAGGAATGAGATGGAAGGAACAGGGAGGGAAGCAAGACAACTTTACAGCTGTGGTTTCTAAATGATGCAAATGATTGTTATCCATTCAGGTGCGGTCAAGTTGATTCCGACTCATAGTGATCTCCTAGGATACAACAGACCTGCCCTGCCCTAGAGGGTCTCCAAGGCTGTAGCCTTTATGGAAGCAGACTGCCACAGCTTTCTCCTGTGGAGCAGCTGGTGGGTTCAAATCACCAACCTTAGCCACTGCACCACCAGGACTCCTTCAATTGTTTCTACATGCCCAAAATAAAATTATAGAGGAAAGAAAAAGAAAATCCTAAAGTCAAACATAAAGAAATGAACAGAAAATCTTTATCGTATCGATAGCAAAGTCACACAGAAAAAAATAATTTCTGATGGAGTGCTGGTGTGGCGCGGTGGGTTACTGTGCCAGACTGCAAAGCTGTTTGAACTGCAAGGTTGGTTGTTCAAGCTCACCAGCTGCTCCTCAAAAACCCTATACAGGGTCGCTATGGGTCAGAACCAACTCAACAGTACTTCACAACAACACCAGGCATTCACGGTGGCATATATTCTAAAGACAGAATCTTAACCTTAGTAGTTTACCATTAGTATTTTAAGTACGCTGGGTAATAAAGCAAGTAAGTAAATACATATTAAAGTGATTAAGAAATAAGAGTTTCCCTCTAAGAGGTTGTTCTTGTTAGGTGCTGTCGAGTTGCTTCTGACTGTTTGACCCCATGTGACAGAGTATAGTTGCTCCATGGGGTTTGGAAACTGGAATCTTTATGAGAGAACCATCTGGTCTTTCTCCTGAGAAGCAGCTGGGTGGGTTTGAACTGTCAACCTTTAGGTTAAGCAGTTAAGCAGCTGAGTGCTTAACCACTGTACCATAAGGTCTTCCTTACACTAAGGGAAAAGAGAGAAATACAAAGTCAAGAAGCTAAGGAGGAGAAAACTCTTGTTAATGTTAAAACTGAATTGGTAATAGTAATATAAATTTGTGATTTCAAAACATATTTCCTAGTTTTGTCCATTGATTATTGTTGTTAAATGCCTTCAAGTTCGTTCCAACTTATAGTGACCCTGTATAGGGTTTCTGAGGCTTCTTAATCTTTGCAGGAACAGAAAACCTCATCTTTCTCCAACAGAGCAGCTAGTGAGCTTGAACCATGGACCTTCTGGTTCGCAACCCAGTGCTTTTCATATACCACTGACCAAATATGGACAATTTGAGTATCAAGAAAAATTCATTGAATTTATTGAATTATTAATTCATTGAATTAAAAAATAAATCCATGAATCTAGAATGAATTTGGAATCCTGGTGTGGCACTGTATGATAATATCTAAGTTGGGAGATTGTTCTAGCCATAAATAGGGAGACTTTATAGGATAAGCACTGCACTGCTAACCACAAGGTTGGCAGTTCAAACCCTCCAGCTGCTCCTCAGGAAAAAAATGAAGCTTTCTGTTCCCATAAAGATTTACAGCCTCAGAAACACTACATAGAGTCGGAACCAACTCAACAGCACTTAACAACAATGAACAACGGATTGCAATATGTGAAACCTGATTGTGTTCTGAGTTTAAAAAACAGCTATAAACATGGGACCGGGGAAACTGTAAAATGGACTGAATATTAGGATTACAGAATTACTGCTGATTTTCAGATAATGGTACTGTGCTTATACTGTGTAGGACAGTGTCCTTAATCCTAGAAGATGTATATTGAAGATGTGAAGGGTGAAGTCTCATGATGTCTGCTATGGTCTTTATTGTTGTTGCTGTTAAGTACATCGGGTCGACACTTTACTCATAGAGACCCTGTAAAGGGTTTCTGAGGAGCTGGTACAGTTGAACCACTGACCTTGCAGTAAGCAGTCCAATGCTTATTCTATAGCACCACACCAGGACCCCATCAGTCCTTTAGAGTTCATTGAACTGTACATATGTACATATATACGTATAGGAATCAAGCCAGGAGACTTGGTGGCAGTGGTTAAGGGCTCAGCTGCTAACTGCAAGGTTGGCAGTTCGAACACACCCAGTGACTCCTCAGAAGAAAGACCTGGTGATCTGCTTCCATGAAGATGAAAGCACAGGGAATCCACCTGGGCAGTTCTACTCTCTTACATGGAATTGAACTGATGTGAGTCAATTAACAACAAACAACAGAAATCTAACAGATGTGTCTCCTGGAAAGGTTATACAAGCTTTACTGTACTGACTTTTAACTCTCTCCATTTTTATAATGTTAAAAAAAATAATTTTTTATCTTAGCTATAGAATTTGTTATCTATAGAATTCATTTTCTTTTTTAAGATAGAGCTTTGTTGTTGTTAAGTGACATCAAGTCAGTTCTGACCCATAGCGACCCTGTATAGGGTTTCAAGGAGCAGCTGGTAAACTTGAACTACCAACTATGCAGTTCAAACTGACCACACATTCAGTCCAGGGCATTAACCCACAGCATCACACCAGGACTCCAGCTAGAGTTTAGGTGTGACTTGTTTTTTGAAAAGAAGTGAATTTTTATTTAAACAAACATCATTGTCATGGCTTAAAGTGGTAACTTTACATGGAGAAGAATTAAGGATTTCCCATTTGCAACTAATAAATTGAATCTGTAAGCAAGAAAATAACTGATTTTCCTAGCAGCTAAGGCTCCTTCTCTGTACAGCTCCTAAGTACAAGGATGCATTTCCCACGCCTCCAGGTCAGGTTACCTCGTCTGGCTGAGGAAGGACAATAACTGACATTGTTCCTGTGTGAATGCGCTGCATCCTTGAGGACAGGCCAACTTCAGGAATTCGCTGAACCCGGTGAATCCCACCTTCATACTTCAAATGCTTGTAGACATTGTCACCAGAAATTCGGGCGGCTGCGTGATGCAGCCCACCTAGGAATTAAAAAATATCCCAGTGTCAAAAATTCTACATTGAAAGGGGTTATGATCTATATGTAATCAGTCTAAGGCCTGAATCTAAGTACAGACCCTGAGGTGAGAACATAAAGTAGGTACAAAACTGTATATTCTCCCAATGTACATGTATTAAAATATTAAAAGAAGAATTTAAATGCAACTTAAGGTTATCGCTGGGTAATAGAATAATAGGACATTTAAATTTTTTATTGCTCTTTGTTTCTAATTTTAAAAAGTAGTAAACATGCTTTACTGTTATAATCATGAAAAAAAAATATTACTAAAAAAACCTAAGAATGCTGGGGACTCATCTACATTGAACTTCCCTGCACTGTCTTGGGTGTCTTGGTGTGGAGCTGTGGGTTAATGCACTAGACTGCAAAGTCTGTTTGAACCATAAAGTCAGTGGTTCAAGCAGATCAGCTGCTCCTTGGAAACCCTGTATAGGGTTGCTATGGGTCGGAGCCAACTCAACAGCACTTAACAACAACAATATGTAGTCTTATAACATAATAATTTTTTTAAAGTTTTTATTGTGAATTGAGTGATAGTTTTTATGGGAGAACATCAGCTTTACATTCAACCTGTCATATTTCATTTCATTGCAATGATTACAATCCCCTCCATGCATCATCATTCAAAAAGCATTTGCTTCCACTCCCTCTGTTTTTTTTTTGGATGTACACTGAAGCACTCAGGAATATATAACCATTCAAATAACCAAAGGGTACACCCTGCAAGCCTGCCCTCTGGTCATCAGCACACAGCCCCTCTTCCTTCCTGAGTCCAGAGTCCCCAGCAGCTCAATCTCTCCACGTCATTCCATAACATAATAATTTGATATGCTGAGTAACTCTATAGATCCTCCCAAGTTCTCAAGAGTCAATTGAAATTTACCTCTTATCAGTTGTTGATGTTGTTGCATTACCTAAATATGCATCGATAGGCAATATAGTGTAATCTTATCCATTTAAAACTACTTGGTATGTTTTTAAGTTTCTCTTAATGTACAAATTTGTCTGTCATCTTTTTCTTCATTGATATTAGTTTACTTTTGAGCCCATTGTTGCTGCCACTGTGTCAATCCATCTCATTGGGGTCTTCCACTTTTTCAAGAGGAAGTGACGTCCTTCTCCAGGTAACAGATCTGATAACAGATCTGAAGTACGAGAGATGCTAGCTTCTTTCCAGACAGATTTGTTTGTCCTCTGGCAGTCCAGGGTACTTTCAATATTCTTCTCCAACACCATAATTCAAATTAATCAATTATTCTATGATCTTGTCCAACTTTTCACTATCCAACTTTCACATGTATCTGAGGCTGTTCAAAATATCATAGCTTGGGTCTGGAGTATCTTAGTCCTCAAACTTATTTATTATCTTTGCTCTTGGAAACTTTAAAGAGGTCTAATGCAACAGATTTGCCTAATGCAATATACATCATTTGATTTCTTTTTTTTTTTTTTTTTAATCATTTGATTTCTTGACTGCTGTTTCCATAAGCATTGATTGTGGATCTAAGCAAAATGAAATCTTCAACAACTTCAAAGTTTTCTCATTTATCATGACATTATTTATTGATCTAGTTTTTTTTTTTTTTTTTAATTGTATTGATCTAGTTTTGAGGATTTTTGTTTTCTTTGCACTGAGGTGCAATCCATATTGAAGGCTGCAGTCTTTGATCTTCATCAGTAAGTACTTGTAAGTACTCTTGGCTTGTAGCAAGCAAGGTTGTATCATCTGCATATTGCAGGTTATTAATGAGCATTGATATATTAAACTGGGGTTCTTTTAATCCTCTGAAGACGACAAATTTAAAAAAATCATTTATGAACTCGAGGATTTAAGAGCATATCTAGCATGTTTAAGTCAACTCTAATTACTTGAAGCTCAACTTGACTTATCTTTGGCCAATGGAAGCATCTTCAAGCTAGCTCTCCAGATTTTTGACATGCCCCAGTTGTCTGATAACTTACTTGCTATGTTGTAACAAGATACTACAGGATCATCTTAAACATTTCTTGCCAGAGACCTGTAATTATAGCTATTTCTTCAAGAAGCCCTGTTTCCTTTAAGAGAGAAATTGTACTTCAAGACCACAATCTGGATACTTTGGGATGTTGATTGTGGTTTCTATGTCTTTTCAGTAGACAGGACTAGCAAATACTCATATAGAGAGACAATGGATCTTCTGTGTTTGTTTTTGTGCACATCTTGCAACTAACTGCCCTTTGTTTTAGAATATCTAAGGATGTTTATACAGCAAAAAGCTTTGGCACATAGCAACAATGTGTCCCTCCAGAGTAAGAAACTGTTTGCTGAGACTCTTACAAAAGAAACACAGCCTCTCTACAGCAGCAGCAGGCACCCATTACTGCTCATTATTTTAATAAACAAGAGTTCCCGAAGGCTGTGTGAGCAGATATCATCTGCCCTCTTCAAACAATGCTAACACCCAGGCTACAGGTACTGTGAATATTAAACGGTCCTTCGGCTCTGACCCATGGTAGGCTAACTTGTCAGTTTGAAAAAAGGGTAATATCTCTTCACAGTTCTTCAAAATTGGTACCTTCACTTTAAATTCAAGACCACAGAGCTTTTCATTCAAACTTTTATCTTTTTCATTCAAACTTTTTTTAAACTTTTATCATATCAAGAACAACAATTCTCAGACATACCATATTATATACACAATGGTCTCAGAATAAGAGTACTCATTTTAATATGCAATACAATGAGTGAAAAAGTTAAAACTTTTTTTCATGTGTTCTCCTCAGTCTTCCCCCAATTTTCACATGGCTATGTTGGTTAATGCACTGGGCTCCAAGGTCAGTTTGAAGCGCAAAGTTGGCATTTCAAGCTTACTAGCCACTCCTTGAAACCCTATAAGGTTGCTATGAGTCAGAACTGACTCAAAGGCACTTAACCAAAATAACATGTTATTGCTGGCACTTAACTACAACTGTTGTTGCTGTTTATACTGTTACTGAGTCAGTTCCAATTTGCAGCAACCCTGTATAGGGTTTCCAAGGAGCAGCTATTGGGCTTGAACTGCTGACCTTGAAATTAGCAGCCCAGTGTTGATGGTACAGTGCCACAGCAGGATGTTAGTTCTCAAGATAACTGTATACTTAATGCTCACTCTACTCCTCACATTCATCCCTCTCTAGTCACTTTGTTGTTGTGACTTTGAGTTGATTCCAACCCATAGGGACCCTGGATAGGGTTTCCAAGGAGCAGCTGGTGAGCTTGAACCACCTCCCTTGCAGTTCAAACAACTTTGTAGACTGCCGCATTAGCCCACAAAGCCACACCAGGACTCCTCTAGTCATTTTAGTTGTCTGAAACTTGAGATTCTTCAAAAAGGGCTCAAGGGAAGAATACTTCCTCAGTTCTTGTATACTGAAAATAGTTTATGTCCTTTATACTTTCAAGTCAGTTTTTGTTGTTGTTAAGTGCCATCGAGTCAATTCCTACTCATAGCAACTCAGTGTAGGGTTTCCAAGGAGCAGCTGGTGAGTTCAAACAGACCTTGTGGTCCTATGCTTGTCCTATAGTGCCACACAGGACTTGTATTTTACAATAGTAGACAGGAGAAACCAATATCCATAAGGTAGTTAAACACATAAACCTTTTAAAAACTCTCAAATTCAATCTTTTCTTCTCCACCCTTAGATTAATCTCATGCATATGCATATGGCCTTGGACCTCAGGCAGGGTAGATCCAGTAGGCCCTGGCCCTCTCCCAGCCTTTGTTTAACCAGCATGACATCTGCTTTAGGTAACTCTTGTTGTTGTTAAGTGCCGTCGAGTCGGTTCCGACCCATAGCGACCCTGTACAGGGTTTCCGAGGGTGTAAATCTTTACGGGAGTAGAAAGCCTCATCTTTCTCCCGCGGAGCGGCTGGTAGTTTCGAACCGCTGACCTTAAGGTTCGCAGCCCGATTCGTAGCCACTACGCTACCAGAGCTCCTTGTTAAGTGTAGTCAAATGTAGTCAACCCACAGCGACCCTGTATAGGATTTCCAAGGAGTGGCTAGTGAGTTTGAACCGCCGACCTTGTGGTTCAAACTGACCTTGCGATCCAGTGCTTTATCCCACAGTGCCACACCAGACTCCTTTAAGCAACTCTAGAAGCTGATTTTCCACCCTCAGTTTAAGCATTTTATCTCTTACATTCCTTTCAACCATTATAAAATCCAAATGAACCATGCCAAACCAAAAGTTCCACTTCACATGGTTCTTTCTTTTACAAAACCTCCTGGGGTTTTTTTGTGTTTTTTCCATGAGTCTAGAGTCATTGCAATGAATCTTATTTCTGACGTCAACTGCAAAAACCACGTAAGGACCATGTTTGACTTTCCCTGGCTTCATAAGGAGAAACAGAATTAAACCCAGAATCAGCCCGAGGCTGACAATGATGAAATGGAGGTCAAACATACTTCCACCTTACAACCTTTTTTCAACTCATTCTGACAGCAACCATCCCTCCCACAGCACTCTCTGCTTCACATCTGGGTTCAATAATCCATTGCAGTGGCCACACAGAACTCGTAACAATACTCATGGTTATGGGGTTTATTAGGGAAGTGAACAGGCTACAATTCAGGATCAAAACCAACTCAGGATGCAGCAGTTCTCCAGTCAAGAACGCCTTTTCTCTGCCATACTGCAGGCATGCCTCATTCTTGTCTTTCGTTTCTCAGCCACGTGGCATCTGCCTCAGACCATGGGCCTAGATTTTTCTTTCTCTTAAAACTCACATGCTGTTTTATACATATCCTATACTAATCCTGACTCATTAACATAACAAAGAAAACCTATCCCCATATGGATTATAACCACTACAGGGTTTAGGACTTTATAACACATATTTTGGGAGGGGGGTAACACAATACAATTCATATCATCATGTTAGGCAAAAATGGGCATTATTTTTAGATTAGCCTTGAAAATGCCTTAGGAAAGTATCTTTTT